TGACAAGGAGCTCTCTAATTTTCATCCCACGGCTCAGGTCCTTTACCTGGATCTTAGAATTCTCATTTCCTGTGAGGATCTGAAGCTTCAGGTCCACGCGGCATGATCCCCAGGAGACTCTGCAGGGAGGAGTCAATACTTAGCTTTCGTGTCCTGAATTAGAAATTGTACTTAACAATAAGATTTGTTCTCCCCTGTACACATGTTTATATGTCATTTTTGGAGGCAAAATGATTCTTTTCTGGTCATCAGGACTGGAAGCTGAAGGCACCCAACCAACATGTTGAACTTTTTTTTCAATCCAACGGTAAAAGCATCTTAGTGATATTTATCATCGCCACTTTAAGTATTTAGCATTAGAATCATGAGCATGTGAGAGAAAGAGTCCAGGCCAGAAATGGATAATCCTTTTTAAAAATGTAAAATCTTAGGACCAGATAGCGCATTGTATTAAAGAACCTCCTTAGGTAGAGCACAGGGGCAGGTTTGATCCCCGCTGTGCTGTGCGGGGCTCTGCCCCTGGGACGCACCCTGATGGAGACTGGACATGGAGGGGCGCACCTGCAATCCCAGCACTTCAGAGGCTGAACACAGAAGGATCACTGGGAGTCCAATGTACTTAGTTAGACCCTGTAGACCGTGTCCTAAATATATAAAAATTAATTAAAAAGTAAATGTAAATCTTAAACTGCCATGTATGATAGCATGAGGCAAACCCAGAGCTCATCTAGTTGTCTTTTTAAACAATTTGCTGGTCCTCAGTTTTTATTTTCTCCTCTGTTTGTTTTCTGCATCCTGAAAAGGAAACACAAAGATGCTGCTTTTAATTCTGTGGCTCAGGTGCTTCTCCTAGAGCTCAGAAGAGGATCACACGTGACTTCCACATACTCAGGGTGACACATGAAGAATTGTGTCACCCAATCTTGTGCAGAGCATTAACCCCTATCTCTGTGTTTAAATATATTTTACATAGAATGTATTTTTTGCTTTCAAATTTATGGAAAATAAAGCAGAATATTGACAATGCAAAGGTGAAATTTGCTTCTCAGTGTGGGGAGTGAGGTCAGAGCTGAGTGGGCTCCTCTGACTGTCCCAGAAGCCCTCCTTCCCTGTCTCCTGGGAGTCCACCACTGTGCCTCCCTTTCCGGATCTCTCAGGAGAGGAGCCAGGAGGCCTGTGGTGTGCATGGCACACAGAGCAGGACATCAGAAAGAGCCGCCAGGAATTACTGGCAGGAGCTCACGTTGCATCCACCGTAGCGCTTCATCTTTACAAATTTTGGTGTCGCTATGTCAAATCCAACCTCTTAGCAAAGAAAATGATTCTGAGTTAGAGTACACAGAGGACCATTGACTCTCATACCACGTGTAAAATGCCCTCACTGTACTACCTCAGCTAGAAATAGACACACACACAAGAGCGACTTATTTTTTACACAGTGTAAAACTCTACATAGTTGGTAGAAGGTGTTCATTTCAACAAGTGATGGTAGGACATCTTTTGTAACTAGTGGTAACAAAACACATCTAGCAAATGTTGTATAGTATGTCGGAACTCTAGGTCACGGTTAGAGAAAATGGAAATTCTTGTAGATAAAACTATATTATGAAAATCTGTACGGAGTTTCCTCATGAAACATTAAAAAAAAATACTATGTGATTCAGCAGTTTTAGTTCATTTTCCGCAGAAATGGCTAAACATAAGCCTACAAAAGGGGTAAATTCCTAAAAATTTATCATCTGCTGAATAGGAACAAACATTATCTAAGCAGAGCTATGAAGGGCAATGAATGTGAATCAGAATTAAAAGGACTTTCTTTACAAAAATAAAACAGAACTTGTTGAAATCAAGGCTGAATTTTACCAATTAATTAAACAAAAAATAATTCCAAAATTTTCCCAATCCATTCCAAATATTTTCATGATTTTTGTTCAAATTTATTTTACTCATTCTTGTCACGACGATGATGAGGTTGTGAAATTTTAAAGCCACATAGTGACAATGTTGCAGCGCTTCTAATGCTATCAAATTAAATTTCTCTTTTAATGCCCATCAGTAGTGGTACATCAAAGAAAAATGAAATTGTCCATCTGAACAAATCTTGGTATTCCAGGCAGCACCCAGGCCCTGCATGGGAGTAGGACCTCCCGAGGCTGCTGAATCCTCATTTGAGCCAGAGCCCAGGCCAGGTGTGTAAGTGGAACTTCATCCATCAGAGAGGCCTGGTGTAGAACCTAGGGGCAGAACTCCCTGTTGAGAGGCTAGAGACAAGACACACCCAGCTGACCAGGATCAGAACATCTTGCCAGAGTGGCACAGTGTGTTCACTTCCAAGGGCTGCAGTAGGAAAAAGCTGAGCACAGCAGTCAGAACCAAGCCTCACCCTCCTGCAGGGGTTTGAACTTGGTAGATCTGGACCTGGTGCTAAGGAAATAACTCTATCTAAGCTCTTCCCCAAAAGTCAGAAGACAGTGCTGTACAAAACAACAAAGAGAAGGAAGAAAATGCAGTCTCAGGGCCCACATCCACACACAACAAATGCAGAAGACACTAGCATAGATGAAATTGTAAGTCACACACCTGTATTCTCTGAAGTAATAGCATTGGAAGTCAAGAAACAACTGCAGAAAGGTATAGAGGAAATCAGATAAGAAATAATTTCTGAAATGGAAAAAGAATTTATGGCTATAATGAAAGAAGTAGTAAGTGTTTATAAAGAAGAAAGTTATTGGGGGCTGGGGAGATGGCTCAGTGGAATAAGCGCTTGGCTGGTAAACGCAAGAGCCTGAGTTCAATCCCCTGTTCTTCTACAAAAAGAAAAAAAAAGAAACTTATAAAAAATTGGGGGCCAGGAAGATGGCTCAGTGGAATAAGTGCTTGCCTGGCAAGCACAGGGGCCTGAGCTCAATCCTGGGTTCTGCCAAAAATAAAAAATAAAAATAAAAATAAATTTAAAAAAAATAGAGCAGAATATAAAAATGATGGAATTCTTGAATAAACAATATATGGAAGAAATAGAATGCATGAAGCAGATCCAAAGTGATATTCAGGAATTTAAAACCTCAATCACAAGTTGGAAATACTGTTTGAATGAAAGTGAAAATAGACTTTCAGACCTTGAAAACACCATTGTAGCTAGTGAGAAAGTAAGAAAAGATCTCTTAAAAACAACTAGGATACAGGAAAAAATAGTTCAGTGCCTGCAAGACAAGGCAAAGATGAACAATGTGACACTCATAGGCATTAATGAGAAGGAAGGAGTCAATACAAATGATATAAAAAGCATAAGGGCAAAAGTAATCGCAGCAAACTTCCCAAACATGGGACAAAAATCTGATATTCAGGTAACTGAAGCCTATGGAACTGCAAATAACATCAAACCAAATAAACCACACCCAGGCATAAAATAATCAAGATTCCAGAAATTCAGCATAGGAACAGTATATTAAAAGCCACTGAAGAAAAGAAACAGATCACATTTAAAGGAAAACCCATCAGAATAGCAGCAGATTTCTCTTCACAAACCATCAAGGCAAGAAGAGCATGCAGCAAAGTAATACAAGTCTTGCAAGAAAACAAATTCCAACCCAGACTGATATACCCTGCAAAACTCTCTTTCAAGTATAATGGAGAAGTGAAATACTTCCACGACAAAGAACAACTAAAGAATTTCATGATGACAAAGCCAAGCCTACACAGACTACTAAATTGATGTTCTAGAGAGGGAGCAAATTGATCACAGCCCCATGAATGAGAATGGAAAGAACCCACCAAATAGGGCAAACAATTAAACACAGGAGAATAAGAGGTGTACAAAAATAGTCTTTCAGTTATTCTTTTGTGTAAAGCAGCACAATATTTACATCAGCATACTCTACAAATGCACTTCTCCTGCACCCTATGGGTCATGATTCCATCTGAGTCTACAGGGTGGGTTTCAAGGAAATAGCAGTAGCTCAGTCCCACAAGGTACACCTGGCCACCAGTGTCATGGACATTATCCATGTCCACAACACACTAGAACTTTGTGCGATATCCTATCCCCAAACTGTTAGAAGTGCTGGTCATTTATTTGCCATTCCAGGATTTGTCTTATATTTTACTGTTAGTACTTCTTCGCTATCATGAAAATTTTTTCTTAGTTCATGTTTTGAAACATTTGATTTTTAATTAATTAGTATTTAATTTTCTGAATATCGCTTAATCTTAATTTTGTTTTAAGACTTATAGTCTATCTTTGTCTTACAATTTATTTAAAAGACAAGGTGTGATATTTTCTCCTAGTATTGAAAATTTTAAAAAGTATATTCTGTTGACTTTATGTTACTTCTTCCCAGTCTTTTATACACACACACACACATATGTGAAAAAAGATGTGTGTAACCCGACATAAGATTGTCACTGTTTCCTAGAAATCTTTGATGACCATTTAAAAAGGGTTCATCTAATATATTTTATATAGTCTTGCATAAGTATCATTTTGAGAGCTCTTTATTCTTCATCCGGGAGCATACTGCAACTTCTCTTGCCTTTTGAATTATGCTCTTTATTATTTCCTATGTGCTACGTCTGGAGGTAGGAGAATATTTCCATTGTATAACTGGAAAATATTTTACTTTTAGTTTTCAGAGGTATGTTTGCTAAGTATGAAATTCAGATCAGATAGTTTTTTTCTTTCTTTCAGTCCTTTAATTAGTCCAGTTTCTTACACACTTTGTCTTTTTTTTCTTTGTAAAGTGGAATAAGATGCTATTTATTTTGTTCTTCCATAGCTAATAATTTTTATGTATATGCTTTAATGATTTTTTTGTTTAAAATAAGTTTTGGACAATTTGTGTATCTTGGTATGATCTTATTCAAAGTTCTTGTGCAAAAGCTTCATTGTTGATTCGAGAATGGGACATGGAATGAGGGGACGGCCGCCGCAGCCACAGCAGTGGCAGCCCAGGGCCGGGCAGCAGCAACCCTCACTGCCTGCAGCCCCCGGAGAGGCCCGGCCCATGAGCTATAGCCCGGCCGCGCTCCCGCTTGGCGCGTCCTGCAGCACCAGCGGCATGGAGAAGGCCACAATCTCGGGGCGCTGATCCTTTTGCCCCTGCCCCATCATGACTAGCTCCGCGGCTGACACTCATCGCTGTCCCCACTCCAAAAGCGCCAAAGGCACCTGGTCCCGGAGCAGCCACGCGCGGCCGGTGAACCTTGCCACCAGTGGGGGCCCGGAGGAGAAGGACAAAGACGGCCGGGTGCTGTTTCACGTGAACAAGGGCGGCTTTCCCATGGACTGCCACACCTGGGAACGCATGTGGGTGCACGTGGCCAAGGTGCACCCGAAGGGCGGAGAGATGGTGGGGGCCATCAGGAACGCAGCCTTCTTGGCAAAGCCTTCAATACCCCAAGTCCCAAACTACAGGCTGTCCATGACGATCCCGGACTGGCTGCAGGCGATCCAGAATTACATGAAGACACTACAGTATAATCACACAGGGACCCAGTTCTTTGAAATTAGGAAAATGAGACCACTGAGTGGGTTAATGGAAACAGCAAAGGAAATGACTCAAGAGTCCTTGCCAATCAAATGCCTTGAAGCTGTCATCCTGGGCATATATTTAACCAATGGGCAGCCTTCCATTGAGCGATTCCCCATCAGCTTTAAAACCTACTTCTCAGGAAATTACTTTCACCACATTGTGCTGGGAATATACTGCAATGGCCGCTATGGCTCCGTGGGCATGAGCCGGAGGGCTGAGCTGATGGACAAGCCCCTGACCTTTCGGACACTGAGTGGCCTTGTCTTTGACTTTGAAGACTCCTACAAGAAATACCTGCACACAGTCGAGAAGGTCAAGATTGGGCTGTATGTCCCCCACGAGCCCCACAGCTTCCAGCCCATCGAATGGAAGCAGCTGGTCCTCAATGTCTCCAAGATGTTGAGGGCTGACATAAGGAAGGAGCTGGAGAAATACTCCAGGGACATGAGGATGAAAATCTTGAAGCCTGCAAGTTCCCACTCTCCGACCCAGGTGAGAAGCTGGGGAAAATCCCTGTCACCTCGAAGGAGACCAGCAAGTCCCCCAAGGAGGCTCGGCAGGCGAGACAAGTCGCCTGCTTTGCCTGAGAAGAAGGCTGTGGATCTCAGCACCCTGAATGAAGTGGGCTATCAGATCCGAATCTATCCCAGCTCCGGAGGCCAGCAAGAGGGTGCTGTGGTACTTCGCTCTGCACTTTCCCCAGTGTCTTCAGGAGGAACCGCAATTATTTATTAAGAACTTGTGAATTTTATTTCTAAGGATTCATCTGGAAATAGAATCTGAGTGGATGGGAGCAATTAGCTTTAAAAACTCCTGCAGCAGCAACCATGAAAAGGCTGAAGAATAAACCCTACTGGGGTTGGACTGTCTCCCTCCCTCACAATCTCAAGGATAACAAACACGAACTGGAGTTTTATACCTTTTCATTTACATTCTTTTCCTGGCTTTGAACATCATGCCTCACCAGAATGGCAGAGTCCTCTCTCCCACTTTTCGTATAGTAAGATCACTCAGTCAGTATTAAGTCTTTTTCAGCAATAACAGAAGCAAAGATGGGTGGGTTTTTTTTAAGCAATTAATATTACCTCAGCATTTTTACATCAGATATGCAAACTCAATGAAGTTTATATATATATTCTATTTGTATTGTTTCCCCCACTGTTTCCCATGGGAATTTCTACAAGTTTGGGATTTCTTCCTGGTGCACACACGTGATGAGATTTAAAGTGTTATATGCAAGCGTTTTACACAGAAGCACTAACATTCTTCTGACAATACTGGAAACCATTTTTAGGGTCTTGGAGTTACTTTGTAATCTTCCTTAAAGTGTTCAGTGATGGCAGTTTCTTTTGTTGTTTGTTTTTGTTTTTTGCAGAACCAGGGATTGAACTCAGGCCCTTGCGCTTGCCAGGCAAGTGCTTATCCTACTGAGCCATCTTGCCGGCCTTCTTTTCTTACAAAACAAGCACATTCAGAAGCCAGTCTAGTTCTGTCAGGTACATTTGAACTTTGCAGAGTCCAGCGAAAAGCACAAAGGGTCATGCACTTGTCAACACAGGCTCACAGTGCTGTGATCACCTCGGATGTGACACAGGCAGAGGGCGGGAGCGAGCCAGGGGTTTTGGAAACCTTTCTGTTCACACTTCATCTGATTTCTACACTCAAGTCAGGCTCTGATTCTGGAGGGCTTGCTGTTAAACAGGTTCTGATGTCTTATATTAAGGCCTAATGTGATATGTGATACCTCCAGTATCTCATGCTTTTTGGTGTCATACTTCAGGACATTTACAAAGTACTGGAAAATATTAGAGAATAATTTTTTTAAACAGAAATCATCTTATCCAGAGCTCCATTTTTTTTTTTTTTTTTTTTTTTTACTGTATTTGGTACAGGGTCTCACTATGTAGCTTGGACTTGAAGTTATGCTCGTTTTCAACCTCCCCAGCGCTGGGATTACAGGCGTGCACCACCATGCCTGAGCTCAGTGGCCAGCTCAGTGCACCTGGGGGGAGGGCCGGCGTGGCATGTGGTGCCTGGGGATCGAACCCCAGGCCCTGTGCTTGCCTGAGCAGGTGCTTAGTCGGCTGAGCTATCTTGCTGGCCCTTTAGCGCCCCGTTGTATTGTGTGCCCCATCCATGGAGGCTGTGTATTTTGGTTATGGTGTAGCTTCTAAGGACATGCACAGACTGGAAGGTCCAAATAGCAAGAGCAGGGCTTCTGCTGCTTTTCTTTGTATGGTGGCAACCATGCCAACTCATGAGACCAAAGGACAGCCCTACATGAAGGCTGCTAGAGAACAGACGTGTAGCTTCAGTCTCAGTACGTCTCTGGATTTCTCTGAGGATGGTTATAGGACAGTAATGCAGAAGTTAAGAAACTGCTCTTTGACAGTCTGGAGGTGATGCAGAAAACAAAAGAACTTCACTCTTCAGTTGTGTGCCCAAGAGCTCACTGCACTGTAAAACCCAGCGTTATTAATGCAAGATTTGTCTTCCTGACAGGAAGTCATACATCTCACTAGACTAAAATGCAACTTCAGTTAAAAATTCTGAACTTAATTGCTTTCCTTGCGAATAGTATTATCAGTTAGTTTAAAAGTAATTGTTAAGGTCAGAGGCTGGCTCAGCTGCTGAGCTCACGCTTAGCATGCGCAAGGTCTTAGGCTCCCTCACCAGCACCAAAGCCACTGTCGTCTGCCTCCACACGATGCCCATTTGTGGCCACATAGTGGCCACATGTACTGAGATCTTTGAAGTGGCAGTGAATCACTTCTCACTCTGAAACAATACTGACTCGCCCCATGTGTTCTTTTTATGCACCTGAAACTTTATTACATCAGTCAGTAGTAGACTACTTAAAGCACTGTAGCCATTCTAAGAGCTTGGAGCAGCATTTGCCGCGCAGCGCTTAAGGACCGCCCTGTCAAAGGCACAGAAGGTCAACTACTTGCATGGCTTCTTGTTGCCTACAAGAAAAAAACAGGAATATAAAACTCTTGCTGATATGCTGTCATGTAAGCCTTAAAATTGCCAACTGACCTAATGATTTAACTAGTAACCTAACTGCTTCAACATGCCTTGATTTTTAGATTTATGTCCCCAAGGCAAGAGTTAGTCCCAAAAACATGAAAATTCATTTAAAATGTTTTTAAAAAATCTATTTCTACTGCCCAGCGAGTATTAATTCCTACCAGATATAGGAAAGTCATCAACTCCTAAATACTAACTCAATAATACAACCCCAACCACCCCAAATGACCTAACAACAAAACCAACATATTTTACTTCCCACAATTGATCTTAAGATTGACTGTAATTCAAAAGATAAAAAAAAAGTTAATTTGGAATTTAGTTTTTAAAAGTAATTATGTAAGAAATTGTACAGTTAGGCCATCAGTGGCAATGGATGCAAAGTTTAAATGAAGGACAGAAATTTTAATATGAGACTAATTGTGCTGTTTTGAGTACACTTTATTTCAGAAAGTGATATTCAGTATTTTCTATATACACTGAAATCATGAACATTTCACTTTTTCTAAGTCAACTGTTTCATAAGATTTTTATTAATTGATATTGGCAAATAAAACTTTGAAAGTCTTAATTCAGTATTCTTCCTATACCCAAGGCTTTTGTAAGCTATAGTTTTGTGTACAGCCTTGTACAGTTTTTTTGACACACAATTCAGAGTCTTGTTTATTCTTTTGGACTTTGTTCTGGCCAATACATTTATTTTAAATCTTAAGAAAACTGTGACTGTTTTAGTGGGTATTTTTCTAAGTAAATGAAAACTTGTACTATGGCATTTTAGAGAGTGCCAAATGTTCCGAGCTCCTTTTTCCCCATCACTCGTATGCTTATACACAGCATGGGACTTTAATAAAACCATCCTGGCAACCTAAAAAAAATCTTCATTGTTCTTGGAAATGTGGTGTTATAAGAGCAACTAAATTCAGAAATTTTAAATCTTTAAGTATTCATTGCCTACCCCTTTCTACTTGGAGAATTCTAATTATATGAATATGTATCTTGATTTTGACACAGAGTGAACTGTTGTATGACTGATCTGTGATTTGTTTCTTCTTCATTTTTATTTTGAACAGTTTTTATTGTTATATTCATTTAAGTTTGTTAATAATTTATTTACAGTGTGCAATCTATTAATTTCATGTGATGCATTTATTTCAGAAAAATTTCTATAAAAATCACCCTTCTACATCTTATCTTTCACATTTCAATATTTGTCTATAATTTTAATATGATGTGTACTTATTTATTTTCAAACAAGTTAATGAAAAAAGAAAGAGAAAGCCTCACAGGTGACCTACAGCCGTCTTCATTGCAGTGAGACCCTGATGTGCGTAGGTGGGTCACCCCTAAATCACAGGTAACACTGGAGTTAGAAAAATAGGAACATAACTGTAATACAGCAAGAGGCTCCAAGTCTCACTATAGACACCCACATCTGTCCTGGAGATCGTGAGGAGGACCTGGCTCCACCGGCCTTGTGAACACCAGCTCTGAACTCTTGATCACACTAAGTGGCTCCCTTGTGCTTCTGTGAGGAATTCTGCATTTGTGCAATGGAGCAAACATGGACACTAATCTCATATATAGTTTTTTAAAATTTTTTTTGTATTTAAAAGACGGGGTACAGAGTGTCCAGGGGCTCACTGTGTAGATCAGACTCATAGTGATCCTCCTGTTTACAGCCTCCCAAGAGCTGGGATTACAGGTGCAGGCCACCACGCCCAGTCTCAATCACTGTCTCAGTGCAACATGCAGGCGGGGAATGCTTGCTGGGCCCAGGGATTGAGCTCCCGGCCCCTGTACCTGCCTAAACAGGCACTTTAATCTGCTGAGCTATTTTGTGGGATCTTCACATATTGTTTGAATGCATAAAAATAAATTAAGATTATGAATTATAAGTGAATAAAAAATTACACAAAATTCTTATTTTATAATGTTACTTTCCACAAATGTGACCTACTATAATGGGTTAAATGAACTTTGTGCTTTAACTGTGGGTTAATATTAGAAAATACCTTGGGCTTCCTGTTATCTACTCTAAGAAATGAATTCTCAATTCCTGCTCAAGCCTGCTTATCCATGAGTAACTGTTTCTTGTCAAGAGAATGAGCTAAAACAAACTCCCTCCCTAACCATCTCCTGCAAACATAGCTTAAAATGCATCTTATAAAAAAATACGCTTATCACTGAACTGTAAAAAGCCTTCTGTCAGACACAGTTTGCAGTTGTGTTAAGTAAGTGTAGTTTTCTGTTGTTCTGTGCTACATAACAAATTCTCTTACCAAATTGGACGTGATTTCTGTTATAAACACCCTCCTGCTACCTACGTTCGGGGCCGATCAGTCTTCTCCTGCGTGAGAAATGGCTGATGGCCTGCACTCAGTAATAAAGGCTCCACTCAAATTTTGATTTGATCTTTGATCTGGTTCCTCACTGACTGACCCATAACACCTACACACTCACATCTAATCTGGCTTGAAATTCTGCTGCTTCCTGTCCATGGAGGTCTCTAGTTAGCAGGAGGAGATGCAAATCAGGCCCCTGTCTCCCACTTTAAACCATCCAGCTCTCACCCTGCAGCTCTGGAGAGACACCCCGCTCTGGGCAGCAGCTGTCTCCCCTTGGTGATCAGGACGGAGCACACACAGCTCACCATGGAGCTGGTGTTGAGCTGGGTTGTATTTCTCACTATGTTAAAAGGTGATGCATAAGAAGCAAGAGACACTGAGTGTGTGACTGGCTTGAGGGGGATACACAGTGGACATGTGTGATGTTTACTGAGCAGGATGTGTCTGTGCTTGCAGGTGTCCAGGCTGAGGTGCAGCTGGTGGAGTCCGGGGGAGGCTTGGTGCAGCCTGGCGGGGCCCTGAGACTCTCCTGTGCAGCCTCAGGATTCACCTTCAGTAACTCTTGGATGCATTGGATTCGTCAGGCTCCAGGAAAGGGACTCGAGTGGGTTGGGGTTATTAAAAAACAGGCTGATAGTTATGCCACGGAATACGCTACATCTGTGAAAGGCCGATTCACCATCTCCAGGGATGACCCCAAGAGCACGCTGTCTCTGCAAATGACCCAACTGAAAACCGAGGACACGGCTGTGTATTACTGTGCAAGAGACACAGTGAGAGGGCGTCAGTGGGAGCCCAGACCTAAACCTCCCTGTTGCGATGCTCGAGACCAGCAGGGGGCGCAAAGGACACACTGAGTTCAGTGTCAGCGTGCAGGACAGATGAAGAGAGTGAAAGACCTTTGATCTGAGGAACTGACACTTCCAGTCCTTGTGACATAATCCCCAAGAGACTCTCCAGGCCTTTGCCAATCCTCCAGCCTCAACAGGAGAGGAACCAGGTGCAATCTGACCTCACTGTCCTGTTCGGTGGTGAGAGCACCAGAGCTCACTGGGGTTCAGGAAGAGGCGTCAGGGCAGAGGGGACAGGGCGCTGCGTGGCCATTGGGGAAGAGCGGAAACAGCGCAGGTCAGTGCTGGACACAGGAGAAATGGGGACCTGAGGAAACAGGGGGCTGGTGTTTCCTCACACAATCCGTACAGCCTTTTCTCCTTTTCCCATGAAAGCCAGGGCCCCAAAACCTAGGCTGCAGGTAAAATGGGGGAAAGGAAGAGAATGGGGGGTCGAGAGTGTTGCAAGGACAGGCTAGGATGAGGATGAAGGAACCCTGAATTTTATGTTTCTCAGAAGTTTCATTCATAAGCTACATTCTCAGCGGCCCACGTAATCCAATATCATTTTGAAGGAATCATGTCATGATTGTTCTCCGTCAGCAGGACTGCAACCTGAGGAACGAACAACACAG